ACTCGGATGCTCTACGGAAAAGATGGTACCAAGGCTCCCAATGCAGGGTGACGACTGTGACCTGTTCTGCACAAGCAGCGGAGGACTGTGACAGTGAGTAGGAAGCTTCACTTTCTACCGTGCTCCACTTTATCACCAAGAGGAGCCAGATGTACTCCTTACTATTATTTATTTATTTTATTTTACTATGTACATTTACTATTTAATTACAATTCTTTCTGCCACTAATGAGGTTGCATTACATAAGGGCACGTTTCCCTTTTGCCTCCAGGTTCACCTCAGTTACCTACACAATCTTTCACCTTATAAACTCTAGGTGCAACTGGCAGGAGTCTTTAAGACTCAGACGTAAAGACTGTTATATAATAAGAATACAAATATATTTGATCAGCAAAAAAATAGAAGTGGGGGAAACATTTTTCACTCTGAGTCCTTTATAAACGGGTTTGACAAAGTAGCTTTAGCAGTTTTGGAAAACTAAATGCTTGAAAACTCAGCATGGAGTTACCTGAAGGGAACTTGGAATGGATAAAATACCTTTTAAACTCATCCTTGAATACCTTTTAAAAGGCAAAATATCTTTTAAAAGGTAAAATATCTTTTAAAAGGTAAAATACCTTTAAAAGGTAAAATACCTTTTAAAAGGTATTTAAAAGGTAAAACACCTAAAATACCTTTTAAACTCATCCTTGAAAGGCAGGGACAGCCACCTCTTCGGCATGGTCTTCAGGAACTTGCTCTGCTTTTCCTCCGTCTCATCCCGAGACACGTACACCAGGACCAGCTGCGAGGCCCTTTCCACGTAAAACTCATCCGTGAGTCTCACGAAGAAATCCCTGAGGAGCGGCGAGAACTCCCGGCACCGCGGACACTCTCCGGACCCGAAATACAGCAGCAGCACCTTGTTCTCCAGGCTGCGGCCCAGCTCCCGCTCCGTGTCCAGCTCGTCCCGCGCGCTGTTGTTCACCACCAGGACCTTCCCGGTGAAGAGCGAGGCCATGGGCCACCGGACCCGGGCCGGTTGGGAGGGTTACGGACCCGCGGGGCTCCGGCCGCAGCTTCCCTTGGGCGCCTGCCCCGCTGTGCCCGGTGCCGGCGTGGGCTCGCCCGCTGTTTATAGAAGCGGATTCCGGGAAAGCTCCGCTAATCCGCTTAAAGTGCGAGGCCAGCGCCGGGAGTGGCGGGGGGTGGGAGTCTTGGGTGGCGACGGTACCGGCC